AGCTGGTCCCTCCTTGGACCTGGGGCAGATGGACAAGGTGATGCCCTCAGGTCTTTTTCAGCCCATGTTTTCCACTGATGTTTATGCTTTCCCTTTAATGACCTTGATCACACCTTTGTACTACCTGTCCATTGCTATGTTCCTAATTTTTCTTTTTTTCTTTTCTCTCATCTGTGTGTCACACTTGCTGCTGTACATCGTGGTGCTGCTCTGGCCAGGTGTCTCGCATTGCAGTGGCCATGGGACTTTCCTCTATGAGACTTGCAGCTGTGAGTGTGCTGAGGGTTGGGAGGGCAGCGACTGCTCCCGCTCCGCCTGCCCCAGCCACTGCAGCGGCCGTGGGCACTGTGATGGTGGGAAGTGTGTCTGTGATGAGCCTTACTTTGGCGAGGACTGCAGCCAGCAGCTCTGTCCTGAGAACTGCAGTGGCAACGGCATCTGTGACACAGCCAAAGGGGTCTGCCAGTGCTACGAGGAGTTCATTGGAGAGGACTGCAGTGAGAAACGATGTCCTGGGGACTGCAGTGGCAATGGGTTCTGTGACACTGGAGAGTGCTACTGCCACGATGGCTTCTTTGGCCTTGACTGCTCCCAGGGTAAGATACGCTTGTGAGTTAATACTCCCTCCTTTCTTTCATTCTAAGCTTCCCTCTTTACCTGCCCAAGAAGCGTTTAGCTAATACTGTAGGTAAGCCAAGCCTGGAGTCATCGTGTTCCTCTACAAGTTCCTGCTGGGCTAGGGGTTGATGAGAGGTTCTTGTCTTTGAGAATTGCCTGGAAAACACTTCGAATTGGGGAAAGGTGGAAACTCAGTTTAAGGTAGTGCTAGCACAAACCTGTGTGTAGCAGCTGAAGGAGAGAGCAAAATGGTACGGAGCCTGTAATTAAAAAGCGAGCCAGAGTCTGTTTCTTGACATACAAATGAGACAACAGAAGGTAAAATAACGTTTGCTGCAGTGTGCGCTGCTTGCCAATAAGGTGCTTGATTTGATAAAACCTGTGAGACAATGATGTGTAAATCCTTTAAATAACCTACCTTTGAAGTGAGGTCTTTCAGAAACTCTCCCTTATTCTGCTTTGTTACAAGGCAGTAGGATTTGCCTGAGAAAACCTGACCAAGCTGACCTTGAGTGTATGTCCAGCAGTTTCTGCTTAAAGCTCGATGGTTTGGTGCCTATTCTGAAAAGCCTATAATCTCCCTATAAGCGCAAATTGATACTCTGGGCTTCTGCTCTCAGCCTTTTACCCTGGGAGCCGCCTTTCCTTCTCAGCACATCGCTGCTTAGTATAATCTTTCACAGCTCCTCAGGAAGGAGAAGTGGCTGAGAAGAAGGCTGAGCACTGGCTATCGCTCGGTAAGGGTTTGCAGTGACTTCACTGGCAGGTCTTGTCTGCTCTGGATCATCCCTCACCTCTCAGGCCTGACCTGTCTGCTTAGAGACTCACCTTTTATTTAAAATCTTATTAGCTCAAATTCTTCATCCAAATGAGAGCTCTGTGTCAAAACTTCACTCCTCTTACCCCTTCCATGCTATTCAGAGAGGTTTCTCTGTGGCTCCAGCACTCTTCTCTCCTGTCAGGATGTCAGGATTTGCTGCACAGTAGGCAGCACCTTTACAGAGCTGGTGAGCAGAAGAATTTCTCCCAGAGCAGAAACAATTCTCCCAGAGAACTGTTGCCCAGCCAGCCTTTCCCAAAGGGCTGACTGGGTCCAGATTTGGATCCTCTTCCTTACACAACACCTGCACCTGTTTTACAGGCCATGAAAGTGGCCTCTGGTTTCTGAATATATTAGTGAGCAAGCACTACAGAGTTAATGCATATTGCAAATACATTTTGCAACTGTTTCTGAGCACAGCACCTCCACTCCTACTTAAAAACTGTTTTAAGTCCAAAGGCAAATGTTTCCCATCTCAGTATATGGAGCCAAACACTCCTCTCCCATAGCTTTGTCAAAGTCAAATTGCCTTTTCTGTTCCAATTTAGAGTGATTTCTGCATCCGGGGAGATTTATGCTAAGCATTGTTTTTATTTATTTATTATTTTTATTATGCTTGTATGTCTCAGATCATGAAATGACACATTTTGTTGCATATTGCCATGGTAACTGGAATGTCTGAACATCTGGCAGTTACTGTCAAGCATTCTACAGTATAATTAATGTCTCGCAATTCCTTGTGAAGGAGAAATAGAGGACAAGGACTCAGGTATTTGCCTGTGCTCTTCCCGAACTTTGTTTACTGGCGCTCCAAAATAGCACTGTGGGATATCTGAAGATGAATAAACCAGCAGTTTAAAACAAGGGTGTCCACAAAACCAGTTGTTTGGTATCTCAGTACAATATTAGGTTAACGACTAAGTCTGTGTGTTGATGCTGTAATCAGGAAATCAGAAAGGAAAATAAAGCAGGACTCTTTGCTGCTCCCAGGGGAGCCAGGGTTCCTCACAAGCCCCTGTGTCAGCTCTCCATCCAGCGCTGGATCTATAAATGTGCGGCTCGTTTCCTGCTTGCTTCGGCCATTAGGGCCTCAGCCTGCTTCCTCAGGAGAGGCTCCCTGATGGAGAGAGATTGATGAGCGCAAGCAGAACACAGGATGGACTCTGGCATGGCCCATAACCTCCTGTCCTCCTAATTCATCTCAGCAATTAGAAGTGTGCCTGTGATGAACCCTTTCACTTCAGGCTGGGAGGTCCTTTGCTGTCAGAGAGCAAGAGGAGGAGGTTTTCAAGGGTTACCAGGTCCAGGCAGTGCCTCCTTCCCCTTCACACCTTCACAGGGCCACTTCTCCTGTCCCTGACCAGGAACATTTTTGTCAAATCCTGAAGTGCTTGGGTTCATTCACATCAGCTGGAGAAGATGGCTCTGGTGCATCTCAGGGAAGAGCGAAAAACCACATTGCAAAAATAGATCCCTGTGGGCTAGAGAGTCACCACCTTTGCAAAGAACTCCTCGTCAGAACACCCTGCTCGGAAACTCCAACTGTCCTAGGCATTGTCCTAAATGGATGATAACTGGTTTCTTATGCCACATCTCCCCTCTTCACAGAGGCAGATACATTCCTCTTCTGAATTATGCTTAGACAAGGGATAAACCACATCATATGTATTTAGGTTCTTTATTATTTTACTGCCAGGCTGGATTATTCAAATCCAGCTTCTGTACCACAAGGAGAGGCAGGGTGAATATTCTCACATTTTGTGCAAAGTTTTCATCAGAAGCAATGGCACGCACATATTGAGGGTGGAATTTGGTGAGAGCTTTGAATTACACAAGGGAACGAATGCTGCCTTTCAAGTAAGAAGGATCTCATTATGTTATCTGACCTAATGTTGCTGACTCATGCCTTTTTACAGGCTTTTGCTATCAGTTAACACCTTGTTAATGAAATACAAGTGGTAGATGGTAGATTAGTTTATGATGTGCTTACTTGTAATTAAAATCAGGTAAACTTTCTGGTAGACGTCCTACATGACTGCTTTCAAGGGCTGTTTCAAGACACTGATGAGCTGTCTGTCTTGTGGCAAAACAGTTAAAGCACTGTTGCTGTCCTGAAGTTTATTATGTGCTGCAGATTTGCCTAGGTCTCCTCCAGGCACCGAGTGTAAGTTTTCATCAGTATAAAACCTCAGCTTTCTACCTCTGCCATGGAGAAGCTGTGTTCCCCAGTTCTGGGGACTAGTTGACATTTTGAAATAACTGACAGTGATACAAAAAGAAGGTTTGGGCTTTTCTTTCTCTTCCTAGAGGCATCGGAAGGGACAGCTTTATGAGAGAGTTTTAATCATGCCAGTGTGGGTTTAGAAGCTGGAAAGAAGAGTCCAGGAAATTATCATATTTGTTACTGACTGCAATATTCATTTGTATTTAATGATGCACTATTGGGCAGAAAGAAATGGATAAATCCAAGATGGCCATAGACTGGGAGTTCCAGTTCTGCGTTCTCAAAATAGGTTTGAAAAAATCTCTTGCTTGGCCACGTAGCCGTGGACCAAATGCCAAGATACCATCCTCATTGCAATGTTTTTCTTTGTTTCTCTTCCAGTGCTTGCTCCTCAGAACCTGCAACTGCTGAACTCCACAGAGAACTCTCTGGTTGTCAGCTGGGATCAAATGATTGATGTGGATAATTACCTCATTAGCTATTATCCAGTAGGGCATGAGACATCGGTGAAACAAGTCCACGTGCCCAAAGAGCAGCTCAGCTATGAGATTGTGGATCTTCGCCCCGGCACCACATATAATGTCACGCTTCGTCATGTGAAGAAGGGGATTGCCAGTGAGCCCGAGTATCTAGAAGGAAGTACAGGTAGGAGCAGGCAGTCATCTTCTTCAGAGTCAGAAGTTGTAGACCTTAAAGTTAGATTCAAGCAAGTGGAGCAAACTGTTTGGCTTTGCAGATTTGTAACATCCTGTCTGAGTGCTGGAGAGCACTTTCTCCTCCCAGTCTCAGCTGCATTTTTTTGCCATTGTTCTCTTTTGGAGAATCTGTTTCCAGATACATATCATTGAGGCTAAATGTATTGCGAATTTCCTATCTCTCCTTTTATCTTGTCCAAATCCTACTTGCATTGACACCCCTGAATTCCAGGAAATCCATAACATTGCCTACTTCAAGAAGCAGGGATGGAAGCATGCAAGATAAGGCCAGCATGTTATTAAATGTAATGCACTGTTTGGCTGGATGCAGAGGCACGTTTTTCCTGGTTTTGGCTGGGATAGAGTAGGCAGGATGTAGTTCCTAGGTACTAATGTGCCAAAACTTGCCTGCAGCAGAGAGTTTTCCTCATAGTCTTTTCCTAGGACTGAATGATCTTGGTGCTATGAAGCTTAGGAGGCTGGGTATGGAAAGACTGCATATTTGACACTTTCTCTCTGGAACTGAAATGGCATTTTGTTAGCAGCTGATAGTCTGCCTGCACTTGGCAAAAACAGTGAAGAGTTTGGTTATTTTGACATTTTTCTTACTTCTAGCACAACAGGTGGGAGCTGAGAGCCAGAAAACTCTTGAGTTGGAGTGTTACTGTGGATAAAACTAAGCCTGTTGAAATAATGATTGTGCTGTACTTGCTTAACTCTTCAGTTTCGCTCAGGAAAACATCTTAGGTCCCAGAGCAGGGGACTGGGGAGGGAAGGGGGTTGGTTAGAAACTTCCTATCTTATATTCACCTTTTGGTGCTCATCCTGCTTCCTCATGGCCCTCTGCTATGCTTTCCAGTCCTGTCTGCACTCCGTGCCATCTGGGTGACAGAGGAGATGGAGCACTCCCTGGAAGTGGAGTGGGAGAACCCACCAACAGATGTAGATTATTACAAGCTGAAATTCAGATCCCTCGTGGGGATGGATGAGAAGCAGGTCATGGTGCCCAAAAGCAACGATCCTAAGAGCAGACACATCATCCCTGGTGAGTACTTGTGGGTATTTCAAACTGTGCAGGGGAAGGGAGAAGCAGCAGAAGTGATTGACAGTCAGACCATAGTCCTGAGACAGTTCTTTCATGTGTGGGTGGCCAGTTTTCCTTCACCTCATGCCTGCCATAGGCCAGGGTGAGATCTACTGGGGTTCTCCTATTCCATAATGATGGGTGTCTCCACAGAGAGAAAGCTTCTATGCCCTGCGGATAGCATAGTTTCAAGGCGTATTCATCCAGCTTCAATTCCATCCATGTTAGGAATAAAGTATATTCTATTTCAGAGCTGGTAACGCTTACGTTATGGAAATCCCCGCTCACTGTGCATGCCAATGTATGCCCTAATGGCAAGCCTGGATGAAAAGTGCTACCAAGGCATTCTCAGGACAAAAGGAAGTTCAGATGGAAATCTAAACTTTAAGCTCCTCTCTGCTACAAACCAAGAACTGAGTAGACTAAACAAAATAGCTTTCTTTAAGAAAAAATACTGTCTTTCCTAATTGTTTATCATGCTCTCTTTTGGTCTTGTAGGTCTGAAACCTGGCACAGAGTACAAGGTCACAGTCATACCCGTGAAAGACAATACGGAGGGGAAACCATACTCAGTGAGTGGTAGGACTGGTACGTGGAAAGTTTCTTTTAAGACAGTGATGTTACTACAGCGTTTGGGGATGGATCTGTCAAGATCACAGCATGAAAAGTGCATAGTTGGCTGCTTCTTCATGCATGACCTGCAGCCAGGTCTTGTTTAAGCTTGTCTACACCGTATACTAAACACTAAACCTAGCCCTAGCTCAGTCTTTTGCCTTGGTTTTAAATTTACAGTAACTTCACCCTTCACTAATGGCTCCAGCCAGACACAGTGTAAGCGTAGTAAGCTGGCCTCTGTTTGTAATAACAACCGTCAAACGAGCTCAGAGATGGGTCCAGCAGTAACTCAAAGTTCTCTGGTTCATGACTTTCCTAACTAGATCATTGACAGGATGATCTCACTTAAACCTAGCACACACGATTTGCGGTCTGGCCATAGCCCTTCCTCGTGGATCCTCTGGGCAGCTGCCGGGGACTGCCTCGCAGCTCTCAGCTGCTGCTCATTTGTCTGGTCTCTGAGCCTGGGAGCAGTAAGGTGGAGGACAAGTTCTTCTTCCTTCCTGTATTGCCTGGCTTCAGCATTATTTTTCTGTTCACGAGACTGAACAGAACGGTTGGACCGAGGAGGAGATTAGCACACCATTGCCAGGCCTGCATTTCCACTGGGGACTACAGTCCCAGCCTGCTGTGTGGTCCAATACACCTGCCTGCATGGAAGTGAGGTTGTGCTTGTCCAGTGGGCTGCACAGTGGCATGGCCCTGGCATTTCCATGGTAGCTTGAGTCTTCTCCTCTTATATGTGAAGTGACTGAAGAGGCTTCAGCTGCTTGCTAGCCCTTAGAGGTTGAAGCTTTGGACTGCTTTATCTTGTAACAGAGCCTGAGTCAGATGTAGTCATCTCCAGTGTGGGGAGAGCACAGAAGCATCTTGAAGCTGACTTCTGCTCCGACTGCGCTCAGTACAGCTCAGAAGGCCTGGCAGATGCTTCTGTTACTTGACTGTTATCTTTCCTGTTACTGACAGCCTAGCCATTCCAGACCTGAATATTAAAGCAGATACAGAAGCCCTGTTGGTTCATTGCTGCTTCAAGCTCTTAAAAAATGTGGCAGAATAGTTTTGAGCTATTATAGTGCATAAGAGAGCTTGAAGAATTTTGAACTCTCATTCTACCCCTAAGATTCTGGAAACTCTGAAATTCAGCTCTCTCATGAAAGGGTAGGCGTGCTGCATCCAAAGACTGAAAAATCCCAAATCAGGCCTGACATTCCTGAGGTTGTCTTTGCAAATTATTCCTTTAAAAGAAAATTGATTTAAAACAACAAAACCAACTTCCACACTGCCATTGTAAGGCAGCTGCTCTTTCCCATGTAGATTCTGATTATTTAGAACACCCTTGGCTTGTGTTTTAAAGCTGTTCTTTGCAGACGTGGGGGCTGAAAAACTTCTCAAAAAGGAAAAAAAAAAATCCACAATGAGTAATTCTGCTCATATTCTTATGTAACCCCTGGAACTTAGGAGCTGCGACTAAGGCAAATACCAGCTATTGCAAGAGCTACCACTAAACTCTGATTCACCACCTAAAATAGCAGAAGCCCTGGGGGAGTCTGAGAGAGGTAGGCAGAAAGGGAGGAGCAACAAATGGCTGACACTGGAGGCAGAGGAAGGATGGGGCCTATGCTTGATGCTGTGAGGAGGGCAAGTGAGAAGGTAATGTTCAAGTTGCTACCCATGGAAGGTGAGACAGGTAGCCTGCAAGCTTTTCCTGCAGAAAAAAATGGAAAGTTTCATCTAAATGTTAGAACAGTCCTGTTTCCTCCCCCCTCTGACCGTGCTGGTTTGTCATGGACGTGTTTCTTTCTCAAGGGGCTGTAGGGCAAACCTAGGTGACTCTGTTTTAGCTGGCCAAAGCAGCAGGGCAAAATGAAGGAAACATGCTCATGTCGTGACAGGCATTGTAGTGGTTTAATTCAGCTGGAGTTTTCTAATACTGCACTTTGAACTGTCCCTCAGGAATTGATAGCCCAACCAATGTGGCAACTGATCGAGTGACAGAGGATACAGCCACTATCTCATGGAATAAAGTTGAGGCTCCGATAGACAGGTACATGGTGAGATACACCTCAGCTGATGGAGACATCAAGGAAATAGAGGTGGGAAGTGAAAATGACATCATCACCTTACTGGATCTGAAGCCAGGCATGGAATATGCCATCCACATCTGGGCAGAGAAGGGACCCCAGCGGAGCAAGAAGGCAAACACCAGTGCTGTGACAGGTAAGTGGTAGGAGCAGCAGTGGAGGGAGCCGAGTTTGAATTTAAAAATCCTTCATCAATTTTACTTGTTTTAGTAAGGCTTCTCCTGTTTTGTACAGGTTTTTAGGGAGGCAAAAAATCCATGTCAGTGTGGCTGAACAGGTCTCCAGCTCAGCTTGGAAACTTTTTTGAGTCCTGTTGTGGACAGGTCCAATGGCAAGGCACCAGTTACTACCAGTACAGAGAACAGTGAAACACAGCCAAAACTGAAGCCTCATAGCTGGAACATGTGATTCATGCCTTGCCCTTAAAATCCCATAAACCACCTCCAAGCTTTTATTTGGGTGGCTGTTGTGGCCTTTCCCAACAGGAGAGGGGCCCATACACATTTTGCACAGATAGTCAATCATAGCGCAGCTAAGCTGGTGTGTGGTAGATGACAGTGTGGCTGTCAGAAGGTTGTGCATTTGTGCCCTGGAGCTTAGAGCCTGCAGCAGAATAAGCCAGAATAAGAAATGCTGCTCCCATAATTTGGGAGGCATCTGCAAGTCCTTCATTGCTTAGGCTGATGTAGTTAGCAGTTCAGTGGGAAAAAAAAAAAAAAACCCAAAACAAACAACCCACAAAACCCCATGCTCTCTGTTGGTTGTGGGCTGTTGGGCTGTCCTTGAAGGGCTGCATTCCAGCAGGCTGCTTTGTGATAGTGACTGCATGCTTGTGCAATCTAGCGTCATGCTTCTGTCTGTGAACAGGGCAAGGGAAGGATTGTAATAATGGGAGGAGATTGAAAGTGGCTTTTTTTCTAGTGGAGAATGTGAGTTCTTGCTAGCATGGTTGCCTGGTTCTTCACCTTCAAACCTTCTCATAAGAAATTGCCAGTGTAGTGTCCACGTAGCGGCCAGGTGGCTGACAGAAGACACAGTCACGATCTCCCGGGATAGGGTCTGGCCTCTGATAGGAGGGTACTTGGTGAGGTACAACACAACTGATGGGGACACACAGGACATGGAGGTGGGGGAGGACAAGGGCGTCACTACTCTGACAGGGCTCAAGCCAAGCAAAAAGTATGCTGTCGGCCTCTGGGCAGATTGAGGAGCCCAGCAGATGTCAAAGATGTGACAGGTAGGAAGTTTTGCCTTAGTATGAATTAATCTTGTTCCAGAAGAGCTGGATTTCAGACAGAGATTCTGAGCAGGCAGTTTGGTTTTTGGGTTAATTCCCAGAGCACCCCAGTCAAGAGGTTGTGATCTTTGGAAAGCAAGAGACAATAACACCGTACTCTGCATGGGCTTTCCTCTCTGCCTGTGCAGGGTCAGCTGTGCTTTTGTTGCTCCCCAGCAAAGAGCCCTGCTGTTGCAGCTGTGAGGAGGAGACCCCAGCAGAAACACCTTAGAACTGGGCACCTCCCAGCTTTGTAGTTCAGGCCCATCCTGGATAAGGAATAAAGGATGAGAAGAGGAAGAAATTGGCAGGGCCCTTGAGGGGAAAAAGTGTAACTTCACTGGGACACCCCATGTCCTTCACTCCTAACTGTTCCTGCAGAGGTCAGCAGCCCAGCTCGTCCAGCGCAGGGGCAGAGGTCTGGCTGGCCCTGCCAAGGCTCGGCCACCTTGGCACTGACATGCAAGTGTGCTTGCTGATGTGTCAAGAATGGTAGGACTTGTGAGCAGTTAGCGCCTTGTCTTACCTACCATGTACTGCATCCAACAGCACAAAATGATTTGGCTCCACAAACGGTGATATCCGGTGGGCCTTGCTTAAGCCTCGGTTATTTACACTGCATGATCAAAACACAGTTTATAGCTAAAGATAATAATAATCTATTAGATTTACTAGTTTGAGCCGGAGAAAAAAACAAGCAAGTTTTTGGACACACAAACTCTTTTTATGTCTTTGGGCACAGAATCATTTCCCAAAGCTCATCTGTTTTTTCCAAACATATTTGATAGTCTAATAAAACATACTACCTCTGCCTATAAAACTTGTGTTGTCTGTGTCTTTAGACCATTGTGATTACCCCAGCACTATACTGAAACGTCTAATAGTTATGACTTTTGCTTACAGAAATCGACAGCCCAGCTGAGCTGTTGACTGACCAAGTGACAGAGGATGCAATCACTGTTTCTTGGAACAAAGTCCAGGCTTCAATAGACAGATACAGAGTGAGCTACACCTCGGCTAATGGGGACACAGAGGAGAGAGAGGTGGAGAAAGACAAGAATGTCACTACCTTGGCAGGGCTGAAGCCAGGCACGGAGTACGTCATTTACATCTGGGCAGAAAAGGGAGAACAACAGAGCAAGAGGGCCAGCACTGAGGCTGTGACAGGTAAGAGGGCAATAGGTTGAGTTAAGAGTATAAGTTACAGCCCAGCTTTGCCTTTACACTGAATAAGTCCATCCCAAGGCAGTTTCACAGCAGAGGGAGATTCAGGCTTAACATATTGAGCCTTCAGGTTAGTGCATCTCGCTGTGAAACCTATTCAACTTGTCACAGAGATTCTAATTACCTATATGTGCTACAAATGGGCTGTGTTGTGATTAATAATTGGGGTTAGGGAAAATGAAACCTTTGCAGCAGTGTCTCTTATGTACTTGTACAGTCTTATTTTAATTGGTTAATTCATTTATCCTTCTTCATGGAATAGGGAAATGCTCAGTTCCTTTTTGCGGATGAAGAAATTGAAGTGCAGAGAGGTTAACAGCATGCAGGGCACCTTTTCTTGCAATAGGATGATTAATCCTTGTTCCTCGATTGTTCTTACCAGGACTTTCTTTCCCCTGTATGGCCAGTACTGGTTAAGAAGGTTTAGTGATCTGCCCAGTGTGAGGGTTACTGGTTTATAACAACATTGTAATGCTGAATGTCTGAATCGATTGCAAGCTGTTGCAAATGTTTACGAGACCCATGCTCTAGGCCAGGGACTTGCTGAAGGAAGATGAGTAAATGCATGCCTGGGTCATCCTGGTCTCCTAACAAAAGGGTTTTGGTTGTTCTCTCACTTTCTGGACAGATGACATCTATGTGAGCTTCAGAGGCTTGTGACTGTGAGCAAGTAAGAAAATAACAATATCTTGCTTTGCAAGGGCTCTCTTCTGTCCAGGTCAGGACTGGCTGTGCTGTTCCCTCAGAAAGCTTCTGTAAGGATTAAAGACAAACCCCAGCCAAATCACCTCGGACCTTGGTGCCTCCCAGCTTTGTGGGTCTAATCAGTGTGAGATCGGAAATAGGACTTGAAAAAGGAAGAAACTGGCAAAGCCCTTGAGGGGAAGGAGTGTCACAGTACAGCCTGACTATGACAGCCTGTGTTCTTCACTTTTAATTGTCTCTGCAGAAATCGACAGCCCAGCTCACCTGGTGACTGACCAAGTGACAGAGGACACAGCCACCATCTCCTGGGACAGGGTTCAGGCTGTCATAGATAGGTACGTGGTGAACTACACCTCTGTTGATGGTGACACAGAGGAGATGGAAGTGGGAAAGAACGAGACTACCACGACTCTGACAGGACTGAAGCCTGGCATTGAATATGTCATCTTCCTCTGGGCAGAGAAGGGAACCCAGCACAGCAAGAGGATCAGCACTGAGGCAGTGACAGGTATTGCAGCTTCTACGCAATGCTGTGTTGTGGAAGTGATCTCTCTTTCTGTCCTGTGTTCTTCTGGCCTGTTGCAGAGTGTATACTGGACACGGGTTTATCTAGTGGTCACCTATGATGTGGGGGCATCCGTGCTACAGGCACCTGCAAGCTTCAGATAGATAGTCTAGAGAACTTTTGGGAATAATGACTGCTCTGTTAGTTCAGAAACTGTCAGCCCACTGTGAGCTTCACAGCACTTTGCTAAAGCACTGTGGTCTTCACTTATCAGCTTTGCCTGCTCTTTTTGGTCTTCACGTATGCTAAGCTTTGTAGGTGTGACTGAGCTCTGCCCCACAGTATACACTACTGCTGTTGAATCCTGCCTAAACTTAGGATGGTTCAACTGGTGTCACTGATAAGAACAGGATTTATCAATGAATCAAGACTTGAAAGGAAACGCCCTTATTTTAACCGTCTTCTCCCAAAACATGAAAGGGTAGCAAATGGTTTGAGCCTGAATGAAGTCTCATAACTGTCAGTAATTCCCTTGTATAATCAGGGGTTTTGCTTATGGAAGTTGGTGGCTTAGCTAGGCTGCAGACCAACTGATTGGCAAAGGACACTGCTAGTGTTTCCTGGGAATAAGGGAGAGATGAGGTAGGACATGGGTCTTGCTGTTCTGATTGGTTTGAAGCTAGATGTGGTGTACTTCATCTGTGTGTGGGCAGGGAAAGGAAGCAAGCAGAGCAAGAGGGCAGGCACAAACACTCTCATGGGCGACCTGTGGAAATCTTGGGCTGTGATTTTGCAGCTATGGAAGGAGGGATGTAGCTTCACATGGTGAATTAGCTATGATTATGTTCTCCTTTGGCCACCTCTTTTGTCTTCTTCCCTCAACCATACTGTGGAGAAGTGTTACACCTTGCTAACACCTTACAGCTCCAAAAGAGATATTTGTGGGGGATGCTGATAAAGGGGAGCAGAGTATTGGTGCTGCCTAATTCTCTCACATCTTATTCTTTGTCTCAGTGTACCCTGTGTCATCCAGGACTCCAGGGCCATACATGCTCCCAAATAACTGGTCTAATGGGCCTCTCTTGAGGCTGTCAGACCTAAATTCTTATGAATCTTAAATTTCAGTTGGACCACCTTCTGCACAATCATTCTTCCCTGTATCTCTGCTTGGTATTTTACTCCCGAGGCCTCTGTCTGAAGATGTCTGTGCCTCAGTGTCTTACCTTGTTTTCTCCAGTTCTGCATTGTCAATAGCAGAAGCATGTGATCACCCACTGAGACTCGGTAAAGCTACAGATGAGTTAGGCCATGTCATCCTTCGCTTCCTGAGGGCAGAGTCATGGGCCTTTAGAAAGCAAAAGTTTTAAGGGGAACATAAGTGTTTTTTACCCACACTGTGCTTTATTTCTTAGAAATGGACAGCCCAAAGAATCTGGTAACTGACCGAGTGACAGAGGACTCAGCCACCATCTCCTGGGATAGCGTCCAAGCTCCCATAGACAGGTATATGGTGAGCTACGCTCCTGCTAATGGGGACACCAAGGAAATAGAAGTGGGGAAGGACAGGAGCATTACCACCCTGGCAGGATTGAAACCTGGCATGAAGTACACCATACATCTCTGGGCAGAGCTGGGAAGCAAGCAGAGCAAAAGAGTGAGCATTGACACGCTGACAGGTAACTGTGGGCAGGAGGGAAGGGAAACGGGGTAGAAGGACCCTACTCCCTTGTTATTGTACATTTCATCATCTCTCTTCTCAGTAGTGGGTAGTGAAGGCCTACAGTGGTAAACCCATTCTGGAGATTCAAGTGTATGAGTATAGACTACCATAACAGGGACTACTGTTACAGAAGAGGCAGATGTAATATGGGAGTAACGGCAGCAGATGGTACCCAGCTTACTTCACTAGACCTTAATCAAAAGCATGCAGTGCTTCATGTGCTGCTATCAAGCCTAACAATAACAGAGGTTTAACAACTGAAGTTAAACCATGTTAGAATTGGGGACAGTTAAAAATAATGGCCTGCCCTTTGACTTGTGACCTTAGACTGGTCCTAGGAGACTGCCAAGCAGGCTTAAATCTGTCCTGTTCAGTCAGCCGTAAGGATTATGGCGTACTGGGAACATTTCAGGGTCACTCTGTATCCATTGCCCTTGCTAATGTACTTTTCTCAGTTTATGATTCAAGCTGGTGTGAGATAGAACAGTTGGAGCTTGGTTTTAGGGCAAGATGCCAAGCTGTTCCCCAGTGCTTACAGAGGTCAAGCGCAGCTGATGGGGACAAGTGGAGATCTCTTGAGGCCAAAAGACTGAACCTGTCCGGAACTGGAAATGCAAGGAGAGTTTCAGCAAATTGAAATGTTGTTTTTTTGAACAGGAATGAAAACGGAGACACCTGGGAATATCACATGAAGTGAAACTGCTGGGAGAGGGAATGCATTTAGCATTAGTAGGGGTATTTTTGAAATATCTGCACAAAAGAAACCCACATACTTTTTTTTTCTCTTGGTGTCGTATTTCCAAAAGTAACATCGCCTCTGGTAAACTAATACAGCTTCTGAAGGGAAAAAAAGTACATTTTCTTACTTAAGGTGACAGCTGATTATTCCCTAGCATTCAAACTGGCTGTGACAGGGAGCTGCTCTGCAGTGGTCTCCTGCACCCTAGGAAACTGCTGACTGGCCTTCAAGAGCAGTGCTGTGAAACTGTAGGGCTGAGACTGAGCCTGCCCTTCCCATCCCTTGCTTCTTGTGATGGATTTGGTACCTTTTAGCTCCCTCTTCTGTCCAGCGGGAGGTATACATGTAATGAGCTACTCTGAGAAGATGTCTGTGTTGTTTTATTTAAAGCAATTGTTTAGCAGTCTCCCAAATGAATCATAAAATCATAGAATGTTTTGCGTTGGAAGGGACCCCTAGAGGTCATCTAGTCCAACCCCCCCTGCAGTGAGCAGGGACACCGCTAACTAGATCAGGTTGCTCAGAGCCCCATCCAACCTGGTCTTGAATATTTCCAGGGATGGGGCCTCCACCACCTCTCTGGGCAACCCATTCCAGGGTTTCACTACCCTCATTGTAAAGAATTTCTTCCTTATATCCAGTCTAATCCTGCCCTGTTTTAGTTTAAAACCATTACCCCTTGTTCTGTCTCAGCTGTCCCTGCTAAAAAGATTTTCCCCATCTTTCCTATAGGCCCCCTTTAAGTATTGAAAGGCTGCAATCAGGTCTCCCTGCAGCCTTCTCTTCTCCGGGCTGAGCAAGCACGAGTTCATTAGATGATGAACTAATGCTTAACTTGGAGCCTAGTGAAAGGTGGTCTTCAGTTATAATGAACAGCCAGTGTTTTAAACAACATGCTCTGTGAAAGTTGATGTTACTGTCCCTGTTGTTCTCCTTATGTTTGGTGTTTTGATTTCTTCCTCTCTGCCTTTGTATCTGTTTTAAGCAGTAACCCTATACAAAGGAGTGCAGTGTTTCCTGGGGGAAGCCACACTGCTCCACGCTTCTTGTTTATCTAAGATAGACGTAGCTTGGCCTTATCTTCCTCTGTGGCCTTTTCACAACTGTAATATTTCACTGATGCATGATAATTGCCGTTATGATTATCCTCATAGCACTCTTCAAGGTCTAGGAAGTGTTGTTGCCTGGTTTATATGGAAAAGAACTGAATCAATGGACAAGTTAAATGACATGCCTGTAGTCCCCCAGGGAGGTCTGTAGAAGAACAAGAAATTGAGATGAATTATTCAGTTATAGTTTGCTATAAACTCAGGCATACTTCAGGCTTGGAGCAACTCTTCCCTGAAGGCCAGCACTGTCCACCAAGAACCTTCTCTCTAAAACTTGGAAAGCCAGACAAACGTACTCCTTAAATTCCAGACAAACCTACTCCTTAAATTATTTTCCTTAAGATGTTTCCAAAACACCAGAATATATGAAGCACAGGATGAAAGTTAGGGAGAGGCTTCTTGCATTGTTGTTACTTCCAACTGAGCTTTAGAAAATTGCTTTTATCCTGAGGGAAGCACTGCAGCCCCGCTGTGGGTATCTCATAAGACAGATGCTTTTTGACAACTGCCGTGAACTGGCATTGCTTAAAAATAATTTGGTTCTTCTCGTGTTGAACTTGGGCAGTCTGACTGCACAGAAAGAGTCTGGCTAAGCCTTTGATGTCAGTGAAGGAGATGGTGTCCCATATACAAGTCTAGACTAAACTGTAAAGCTGTGGGCTTCTTTGTATTCCTGTGTTTACTGAAGAAAGCTGAGGCATGACAACAATAAAAGCCTGTGAAGTCATTCTTTGTCTGCAGTAGGGAAACAAGGCATAGGGGCTCTCAGCAGGCCACACAAGGGCCATGCTCCAGGACTGGGGCATAAAGCCCACACTTGACCTATCTGTGAATGCTCCTCAGAGATGAGCCTGATGGAGACTTCTCAGGCAGATGTGTCAGGAGCTCCTGGGCCAATTGCAGGGCTCACAAAATGTCCCAAACCAGATCTGTAGCAGACCCTGCCATGTTTGGTCTAGGCTTCTGCTGCTTCTTGCTAGCTGTGAAGGTCACTGAGTGACTTCAGGAATTCCCAGTTAACAGGATCAGGCATTGAAAGCTCAGCCCAAGCCCTGCACTGCAGTTGCTGTCTTTCATTTATGCAATGGGACTTAAATTTTCTTTTCTTTTTTGGTAGAGATTGATCCTCCCAAGAACCTCCGTGTATCGGATGTGACTCATTCTACTGGTGTGGTTAGCTGGACTCCTCCTGCAGCACAGATTGATGGCTACACTCTGACCTACCAGGGTCAAGATGGCATGAGCAAGGTACAGTAAATTCCTCAGCCCTACAGACCCCACTGAAATCACCCCTACGATGATGGGCTCTGCCAGTTGGGTCTTGTGGGTATATGGTCCGCAAAAAATTTTGAGGGGAAATCTGTGCTATCCATGACCCAGGGAGGTAGAGCTTAAGGAAGAATATGCACTACTGTCTTAAGTAGAAGCTGTAGAGGGACTTTGACAGTGGAACACCTCTTCCCAACAGATCTCCAGGTACAGAGAACATGTCTGCTCCTTCACTTTTCTAACTTGTTATTACCTGGAAGAGCAGCACTCACCAGGGACAGAATGTTCACAGTGTCCTAACAGGGTTTCTTGAGACCTTACTCCAAATCTTCCTTCTGAGGAGATGGACTTCGTGTTTCAAGGATATACAGTGAATGTGCCTGTCTGAACTCTACAAGAGAAGCCCGCAAATACATACAGAGTATGAGGCACTGTGGTGCAGAAAAGCTAAATGCTGTTTAGAGTTGGATTGACCTTTCATCTGTTTTATTTGGCAGGAAGTACAGCTGAGTCCTAGTGAACAACGGTTTGCGCTGGAACAACTGGAACAAGGAGCGAGTTATACCATCTTTGTGATGGCCTACAAGGGAGATCGCCAGAGCAGACAGATAGACAGAACCTTCTCAACAGGTAGCATTTGGCCTTGGTTGTTGCACTTCTCCCTGTGCTCTGCAGCTGTTGTGCTCTATGGTAGAGGTCAGAGATAGGGTTCATGTTCTACAGGTGCACTGGGAAACTACGCAATCATAAGCAAACCATCTAGCGAGTCAATGATGTGTCTCCTGGCTGGGAGGCCATTCTAAGCCATGCCATCTGGAGGCTTGGAAACACAATGGGATAGTGTGAGTGGAGATTGTCCACACTGATCAGTGCTGCTGGCAAGCCTTGCTAGCCAAATGCGGGACAAAGCCTTCTGCTGAGCTGCCAATGGGCAGGAGAGATGATGATACACTAGAGATCTTTCTTCACCATCCCAGTAATGGTAGGGCACAGCTGTTTAAGTACTGTCGTAGCATTGGGTAGTTGCCCAGGTTGTTTTCAGAGGTCAGGAAATGTACACCAGAATGGCAGCAAAGCAAACAAAAGCTCACGCCAGCTTTCTGTGGGAGCCTCTTGTACTGTGCCAGTGCCCATGGGGACTGCCAATTGTGGACAACTTGTGAAATGCAGAGAAATTAAAGTCCTGTTTACTGACACTCCCACCTTCACAGACAAGGGCTACTCTTCCTGCTCTCACTGCAACCCAGGAATGCATCTCTTGCAGCCTGAGGGGACCCCATCCATGTGCCAGCTTCCATGCAGCAGGGAAGGCTGCCAGCAGCAACTTGACGATGCTGCTCACTGCATGAGTGCACAGTGGGGGCTACTGGCTTCTGTACTTCTCTTCCAGTACCATAGTCCTTAGGAGATTGCTAAGGGTGTGAGATGCCTCCTCCAGCTCTATGGCCTGCTTTGCTGATGGGAAGTTTTGCCGTCTCTGTTCTCACAGTTGGCTTTCTCCACCCGTACCCCGCGGACTGCAGCCAGATGCAGCAGAACGGAAATGCCTCCAGCGGCATGTACACCATTTACCTGAACGGGGATGGCAGCAGGCCAATGCAGGTGTACTGTGACATGATCACTGATGGAGGCGGTTGGATAGTGAGTGATTCTGTGCTCTTCTTTGTTTTGTTTTGGGTTTTTTGTATGGCCGTAATCACGTGGACCTGGTGCTACTGTTAGCTGAGGCTCCCTTTGCTCTACTGCACTACTGTGTTTCCTTGATGGAGTGACATGTTTTAGGAAGAGTCGTGGATGCTGATGTCCCCCCTCAAACTGTCACTAGGAATGCTGTCAGAGGCTGAATGGCTCAAAGGCTTTTTCATTGTTTGGTTGTGAATACCACACAGGCTTATATTATTGCTGATGGAGGACAATGACTGAGTTATGACAGCTTAATGTGTTACCTCTTGCCAGTTGGGTCATGGGAGCTGTATATGAGGGTGCATTCAGCCCTGCATAAGATGAGGTAATACAGCTCAGCTTAACTGCCTTTCCTAATGAGTTAACTAAACTATATTGTCTAATCTTGACCACAGTATAAGGTTACATCTATGGGCAGTTAATGCAGTTCAGCTGCTGCCTGTTAGTATTTTAAATGCTAGCACTGCAAGCTGGCACCTGGACCCTCACCACACAGTAGTTGTTGAGTGGCTCAAGGGAATCTGGAGGCAGAAGCACAGATGCTCTGAGGTGGAGAATGTGTATGAACATGAAAGAATGAATCAGAGGTTCTCTGATAGTTGCCTCCCTAAATGACCAAATAAAAATATCTTTACTCCCTTCTTCATCTTTCATTTTCAGTGAAAAGTGATTTTATTTGCTGAAATAAATTGCTATGTGTTACTGTCCAAGTGCCTCTGATGTTGGTGAAGTTTAGAGACCCACATGTCTCTGTGGATCTTGTCCCTAAGCCTATTTTGTCTGTTTAGATCATGCTCAAATTTGTGCCATCCATAGGCACTTGTGGAAAGTAAACTGCAAAATTTGCACAACTAAGTGTTCACCCCAGGTGCTTCTGTGCAGTCAGAAAATGGAAATGGATTCCTGTGTGTACCCTGCTCAGGTGCAGCATACCATCAGCTAGCGTTGTCTGTTCCTGAATGCTTCACCTTTTTGTCTGCATTTGAATCAGGATGAGCATTTCTCACCCCCGTCCTCCTTGTCTCTCCTCAGCCTGTCATGAACTCTCACACAGCAATCTTTGCTTTGCAGGTGTTTCAGAGGCGGAGCACTGGCGAGCTGGACTTCTACAAACGCTGGAAAAATTATGTGGAAGGCTTTGGAGATCCCAGTGGGGAATTCTGGCTTGGTACAGTACAAGGGTGTAACTAGTGAAGCGCTGAAGATTAGCTTTGTAGAAGCACCTAAATGCTGAAATACCCAACCCCCCGAGCCTGCGGTCTGGAACTGTCAGCTTTTGTGTCTTCACTAGAAGTGCCAGCAAAACATTGAGGGATCTCTAAAAGCCCACCGAGTCTTTCCACTGGCATGTTAGGGCTTTGGAGTAGTCTCAGAGCAAGCTAATCTCTGGAAAGGTTTATTTCAGGCTTGTGTGTTCCTTTGAGAGAAAAAATGTAAAGAAATTGCATTTGTGAAAATGCAAAGTCCAGGATACTACACAAAACTTGGTGGATTAGGTCATTTTTTGTCTGCCTTGTTCTGTTAGAGAACTCGGTGTAGATCAGAGAATCTAGCACTAAATAGGTCAAGGTCTTTGGAGCAAGATTCTTTAAATGTTCTGGGAAAAATAATGTTGCACTACAGCTTGTCTTGTGCTGGTTTAGGCTTTTTGGTTTTTTTTCTGGTACTGCTGTCTCTTGCCAGAAAATAAGACAGAATAAACTTGGCAAAATGTCATGACAGGGAAGGAGGGAGGCAGGAAACAGCTGATTTAACCAAAACGGCCACAGGGTGAGAGTCTAGGACTGCAAAGGCAAACAGGCTTTTCCCTTTTAAGAGTAATTCTTCTTTTTCTTCTAGGTCTTGACAGGCTGCACAATCTCACAAGCAGCAGCCCCATCCGCTATGAGCTCCGGGTGGATTTGCGGACAGCCAGCGAGTCTGTCTACGCTGTCTACGACTTCTTCCAGGTTGCCTCGAGCAGGGACAGATACAGGCTGTCGGTGGGGAATTACAGAGGCAATGCTGGTGAGGAGTGCCTCATGCTTGAGCTCTCTCTGCTTCACACAGGGAAACAAATGCTAGGACATGTGTATGTGTTTTGCCAGTAGTGTGGGAGCTCATTAGGTCAGGTTAGATCAGATGTGGTTCTTTTTGAGCAGGGAAGTGTGTACTTCCTAGGAAGACTGAGGAGAGCGTGCCTACATGCCCATCTCCTG